CCCCTCCCCCTTTTCTGATGAAGGTCTAGGCCCGAAACGTCAGCCTTTCTGCTCCTATGATGCTGCTTGGCCTGCTGTGTTCATCCAGCCCTGCACCTTGTTGTCTCGGATTCTCCAGCATCTGCAGTTCCTACTATCTCTTATGTACTAATATGGATTCACATTAGGATGCGTGTTCTTTCTGTCTTGGAATTAGTTCCTATTAACTCCCCTCTTGAGACATTCAAACTAGACGAACATGGCTATATTCTCTCCCTTTATCCTATTTATTTGCCCTAAGTAGTGAATACATTTTAATGGATTCTCAAGTGAATTTGCCAACAACATAATATTGACTGTAGGGGGAAAAGAAGCACTAGAGTTCCTTCAAGAAGGGTCTAGAACAGACCTACATCATCGAATGTAGAAAATATCTTTATGATATTTTCCAGCATAGTATTGATTAAAAACATAAAATTTGATAGGTAGAAGCGAGTGATCATGCCTTACTCTTCTTCTAGTCAAATTACATTCAGGTCCGATGAAGAGTCACTGGACTCAAAATGTTAACCCTACTTTCTCTCCACAGATGCTGCCAGACCTGCTGAGTTTCGTCAGCAATTTCTGTTTTTGAGATCTCCAGCATCCACAGTTCTTTGTTTCAGTTTAGAGTTATTTTCAGTGTCAGTGAAATCTAAAATTTGGGTTTGTACTCCCATAGTTTCTCCCATGACTTTCTAGCCAAATGAGATTCTAAAGCAGAAAAAGGTATACCATTGCTTTCACACAATTATCAATATGTATTCTGCTACCAGCTCTGTAATAAACAGTTATAGATCACTTTTTTATTTAATGATTATTGTAATATGATCATAAGCATCTCCTTGTCTATATTGTGCAATCCATGAGCATTCAATTATCATTACCTAGTTATGGATATTTGTATAGTTTCCTGAGCTTACCGCATTTATGCATGCGCTTACCGCAAGTGCATTGGTACCCCTTTGAAGCTTGTTGTACGGACTGTATTTGGGTTTTGGAGGCTTCCCTGCAGCTCTATCCTTGTGTCTTCTGCTGCTTATGTGCTGTTTTGAAATAAACAGTCAAAAACAAAATACAAAGAAAATCGATGATGTTTTATGGCACAGGAGAACACAAAATTTATTGCATTTAAAAGATTTATCCATCATCTTTTTAAGATTAACCTGTTTGAGTTGTGTTTCTGAATTGACATGCACGTCACAGATTTCACAGTGAAACGTTTTATTCTGCAGGCCGGTAGTGACGCCTTTGTTGGTGGAAGTTTTCCCTTTGACGCCTGGTCTGGGGAATGCCTTAATTGGACCCCCGCCATTTCGGGCTTCCAGCATTGTTTTGTGCTTCGATCCTGTTGAAGTAAATTGTAAAACATCATTAAAACAAAAGGCATTTGGGTAGAGATAGAAACTGATATCTAGGTTGGCAATATTTGACAAATTCTAAATGTGTATTCTGATATTGCACATTATGAAAAAATTAAACTGGTTAAAAGAAGTTTTATCTAGTTTACAGCTTGATGTTCACCAGAAAAGAAAGTGTCATGGAGCTCAGGTTGGTTTGTGAAAGTTACCCATATTGCAGCTAGTAATGAGAAAAGGATGGGTGATGTGCACACTAATTTCCAGACCAACATATGCAGGGTGCCCACATTAAAATCTTGGGGGATTTTGGAATTGTGGACATAGATGGAGAATACAGCGTGGGAGAATCACTGGTTACAATAGGACAGGAAGCAAGAGGGGAGGTGATAGAGGATTATGCATTGACAATTACAGAGAGACAGAAAAGGACTGGGGCAGATAACACACTTTGATGAGTGTGAAGGACAATATTATTGATATTTACTACAATCTTATTGCTATGAATTGTATTCAAGAATTGAGTGGCGGATATGTAGTTGAATTTTAAATGAAAGTTTGAAGAACCTCACAAACAAAAAAAGGGATAATTGCTGGTGGAAATGTGAGGGTGGATTGAGATATCAAGAGTAAAGATAAGGGTAAAGGCAGCACTTCTAACGAACTGGGTCACGAATAGGTGGTAGCTTTCATGAAGATGATGAATTTGATGAAGATTAATAGATAGAAAAAGAACTGTAGGACAGGCTTGAAACAGCATTAGGCCTTGAAGGAGTAAGGCATGTGGCAAGCAGCGGACTAGCAGGATACAGAGCCATTTTTGAAGATTAGCAATTACGCAAGCTCCTTGTATTCGGAATCGGAAATGATTTTGGATCAGAGAAGTAGTTAAAATATTTTGTGAAAAATGAATCCATATTCTCCTGGATAATCTTGGAACAGGAGGAGGATTTTCCAACTAAGTATGAGACATCTGAGCTGGTCAAGACAAATATTATGATGGGGCCAATCAGTTGCAAGCCTGCAATCCTCAGATTACTACTGGCACTTTATTTTTTGAATGGCTAGTTTAAAAATATGTTGGAGAAAGGTTTTACCTGCTTTCTACTTGCAGTGAAATTAAAATTCTCCTTAACAAAAACACACTTAAGACCTTTATACAATTGCAACACCTTTTCTCTGGATACCTATTTTTTGTTCTCTGGTTTCCCAGTGAAATGAGGATGGTGCCAATTAAGACTTGTCCCATGAGGAACAATGCGTTAGACCTTGTGATTAGGCCCACTTTAGATTAATGGAGCTGATAGGAAAAACAGCAAGGCAATGGTGAATCCAAAAATGTAACTGCTTTTTTCTGTTTGATTTGAAGGTCCTTCATTGCAAGTGCTCATATTTCCCCATTGTTTGCAAAACAGGAGTAAAGAATTTTCTCTGGGGAGCGCAGCTGAGAGTAGTAAAATAGAAAGTATTCAATTCCCTATTTCAGAAACTGTGTTCATCTCCAAAAGATGTACTGCACATTAAGTCATTGTATAAGCTATTTACTAAAAACCACAGTATTAAATAAAAGGAGACAGAAAAATCCCACACGAACCACAAAAGTCTTTAATGCAGATTTAAAACTGTGCAAAGAATAAGGGTGTTCCTTCTATAATGAGCCATTCTTCAAAGACAATTAATGCATGAGCAATGGCTGATGATTCATAATGCGAATGAAATTCATGACATGGTAAGAGTACTTGCTGGTGACAAACAGGTCTCTTACTAAATCATTGAGCCTTTTGCATATATTTTACTTATCAAATAGAAAGAAATGATTAATTACAATGTTATTCACTGCAGTTTGTTGATTAAAGAGCTGAAGGCCTTGTTACATATCCAAATCACAGTGAATACTGTTAAAGTTAGGCAATGTAATTTAGCATGGTTGAAACTAATTGATCAGCTAGTTCATTATGTATCTCTAGTTCAAAGATCTATTTTTAATTTAATCTTAGATCCTTTCAATAATTTTCTTGGGTTGGATCCTAGGCATTTCCAGTTAACTGTTTTAAGCCTATACAACACATTTGTCATCTTTAATAATGGCAACAGATTTGAAAAACTTTTTTTTATTAGTTTGCATACTCTGAAAATAATTAATTAATCGATTAAAACCTGTTGTTCATTGTAATAACAAAAAAACAATAACTACAGCACCACAGGGACCCCACAGACTCACTGAATTTTTAAATAATTCTTAGATGTAACGTGGGTGCAGTTGGCAAGATCCGGATTTATTGCTCATTCCTAGTTGCCCTTGAACCCTCTAGGCTATTTTAGAAGATAATTAAGAGTCAACCACATTGCTGTAGGTCTGGATTACAAAGGATGGCAGAATTCTTTCCCTAAAGGACATTAGTGATCCAGCCGATGTCTTTGACACAATTGACAGTGGTCAGATTGTCATGATTTCATAATTTCAAATTACAGTTATTTTAATTGAATTAAAATTTTACCATTTACCATCGTAGAATTTGAACTATGGTGGGGTTCACTAGGGGCCACCACTCTCCAGGTACATCTTGGAATGTAATTGAGAAATTCTGAAGTACTTCATTGCCAGTTCCAAGGCAGAAGCCAGGAGTGTGATGGAATACTCCCCACTTTCCTGGATGAGAGCAGTTCCAAAAACACTCAAGAAGCCTGACACCATCCAGGACAAAGCAGCCACTTGATTGGCAGTGCATGCACTCTCTCCACTCAGTAACAGCAATGTGCACTATTTACAAGTGGTACTGCAGAAACTCATCAAGGCTCCTTAGCACTTTCCAAACCCATGACCACTTCAATCTAGAAGGACAAGGGCAATAGATACATGGGAACACTACAACCTGCAAGTTCCCCTCCAAGCCAAATAACCATCCCGACCTGGAAGCATATCGCAGTTCCAACACTGCCACTGGGTCAAGATATTGGAACTCCCTCCCTAATGGCATTGGAGAACGGTGGTTCAAGAAGGCAGCTCACCACCACCCTCTCAAGGGCAGCCAAAAATGGGCAATAAATGCTGACCCAGCCAGTGATGCCCACATCCCATGAATGAATAAAAAAAAGTAATCATTGCTTTTTTTGTCAGCAATTTCAATTGCTAAATTACTCAGGTTAAGGTCCCATAATGAGCTTTTGTTGACAAGAACAGAATAGCAGAATATTTCCCTGCCATTTGATCTGTGTTCAACAGATTAGGCAGACAGGATCTCCATTCAACATTTCAACTAAAAAAAATAGCTATTATGTGCTTATATCCTGGTGAATAACTAGGAAATAATTATGATGAGAATGCATATCTTGAGTTCCATCTTTATTGCTGCTTGCTGTCAAGTGTAAGTAACAACGTAGCAGTCTACCAGCTGCATGGAGGCAGAAAGAAATCTACTTGCTGAAACTTTGTCAATGTAATTGTTTTCCAACCTATGGGAACCAGAAGGCAAAACAAACGTGCATTATTCAATGGTTTGATTGATCTGTGTTTGATTATCTTGTTCTGGTAACTGATCTACGTATAGTCCACTTAATTGCTTAATCCTATGGATGGAGCTAGAGAGCTAAGTAAACACAGAAGATTGCAAAAACATCCAAAAATCTGAGCTGAGACCATAACTGTGTTGTTGAAAATCCTGAGAGTTCTGAGATATTTTAAAATATTATAAATTGGCTTGTTGTAGATTAGAATTAGCGCTATATTTCATTGAGATAAATCAAACATCCAAGTTATACAGCAATGGTGAACAAATAATAAGTCGGACTTTCAAAAGTAAGGTGCTTCCTCAGCATTCTCTACCCACAAAAAGGTCAGAGAAAAATGTCATCAACCCAGAAATGAGGAGGCAAACGCTTCCTCTGAAAACAAAATGTGGTTGTTGGTGCATCAAAACGCACCTCGATATGCAGCTTAAAGTTCATCTCCATGTACTTGTCCAGTTCCCTTTAAATGCATTTACATTAATCACTTCAACTACTCCTTGTTGCAACAAGTTCCACATTCCAATCACTCTTTGGACAAAGGACTTTTCTCGAATTCTGCATTAGATCTATTAGTGACTATTATTGTATACTTCTCCCCACCCCAAGCAACAAATCGATATATCTTTTCTAAGACAAATCTACTAAACTTTTTCAGAATCTTGAAGATCACTCTCAGGTCTTGTCTTCTTTTTTCTAGAGAAAAGATCCCATATTATTCATTCTTTCCTAATAGATATAGCATCTTAATTCTGCTTTCAGCTCTTGTACCATCTCCTGTGTCTTTATATTCTTTCTATAATATGGAGACTAGCACTGTGCACAATAGTCCAAGTGTGTTCTAACTAAGCATCAACGCATGTTGAACATAACTTCTCTATTTTTCTGTTTGATCTGTCGAGAGATATACCCAAGTACTTGGTATGCTTTTCTTTAAAATTAACCATAAAGTTTAATAGGGCCATTAGCAATTTTTGTACCTGTACCCCAAGACCCCTTTGCTCCTTGAACCAATTGGATCAATATTATCCAAGCAGTATATTTCTTACCAAAATGCACCACATCATATCTATCCATATTAAAATTAATTTGTCCATTACATACCATTCTGCAATCGTATTAATGATATTCCTGCCACAACTGTATCTCTTCATTCTTTGTGACCTTTACATGTTAAACATACTGCTCAAGGTGATTTTGGCAATCTTACAGCAGGTTCAATAAGATTAGCTGCTCTCCTCTACATTTGTAATAATGCATCATGCCTTAAAGTAAACCAACTAGTTGAAATACTTGAGAGTTATAAGTAAATCTCAATTCAATCACTTAGGCTTCCATGCATTTGTAAAATACCCTCTCAGTAAGACGGTCCAGTTCTCATCCTCTCAGGCAGAAGCATATTTCCTGTTTTTAGCTGTAAAATACCTTTATAATATGTTATAAGATTTACCCAAAAACATCCAAAGGCTGTTCACTCACCGCTAACTGCAATTTGAAGTATAAATTACCTGAGTTTACTTGTTCAGACAGAAGTGAAGTCCTAATTAATGTGCATGTATAGATCCTCACCTGCTAGGTTCACAAAGTAGGGACTCCCCATGGTTCTGCTCAAAGTTTTCAACCTTTTAATTTTTCTTGGGCTTGATTCTGCCAGAAATTTGACTGGGAGCTATGCAATGTGAAAACTTAATAAAAAATGCACCACTTTCCAATGTTACATTACAAAGGAAAAGTGCCAACAGAGCAGTGTTGATAAAGGCAACAGAGAATTTCTTAATGTACAACGTGGCACATGGATCTCATTGGCTAAGACAGTATTTATAGCCCAGTGCTAATTGTTCAGATCAGTTAGTCTCAAACACATTGCTGTGGGTCTGAAGTTACATGTAGACCAGGCTGTGTAAGGATGGACAGTTTCCTTTCCTAAAGGACCATTGGTAAACTGGATGGATTTTATGGCAATTGACAGTGGTTACATTGTTGCCATTAAGGTAGTTTCTTAATTCCGAATTTCTTTTATTGAATTCAAATTTTACCATCTGCAACGATGGGATTCTAATGCATACCCGCAGAACATTTAAGTTATTAAACTATGAGCATAGCCAAGGTAAATGGAACGAAACATTTACTCTTTATGGAGGAATCAATGACCAAGAGCATACATTTTAAGGGGCAGGAAGTTTAGGCAGGATGTGAGGAAAACTTTTTTTCACCTCAGGATGGTGAGAATCCGGAACTCACAGCCTGCAAGGGTGGGTGAGGCAGAAACCCTCATAACATTTAAGAAGTACTTAAACTTACAATGCCAAGCCCTACAGGCTATGGGCCAAGTGCTGCAAAATGGGATTAGAATACTTAGGTGGCTGTTTTTGACCAGTACAGACTTGATGGGCCGAAGGGATATTTTCTGTACCATAGACCTCTATGACTCTTACATTAGCCTAAGGTTTTAGATCACTAGTCCAGTGACATTGGCACAATGTCACTGTCTCCTCCTCAGATCAGGATATAGAGGTGAATGGAAGATTTAGAGCTCTGATTGACTGTTTAGATACATTGTAATGAGGTAACGCTGAGAACTGAATAAGGGCAAGCCATCTAAATATTATAGTGTGAAATGATTTGAAATTTATCCCAAAGGTCAGAGCCATCAACATGGGTTTCTCAGTAAATCCATTGTCTGAAGATGAATACAAATTCTGTAAACGAAAATGTTTTACATTATCTGTTACTCTTGGATTAGTTGTAATGATAAACTGAGACAGATTATGCTCGCGTCATGGTGCCTCCATGTTGAGGTGCAGAGATTAAAGAATTGGAGCATGGATCTTCCCGCCTTTCCTGTGACTCTTATTCCTCTTAATTGAGGCTTAACATGTGAAATTAGCCTTGCCAAGATTTTTCATAAGTTACTTCAAGCTACAATTAGGAAATATTAAAATGGTCATCATGTGACTTACAGAAGTTAAACTATATTGGAAAGAATAGGAAAAAAGTGAATGTTTTAGATTAATGATATAATAAACAAGATGATGATGGCCAGTGATATGATACAATACATGATTTTGTATTCACAATGACGGCTGTGGTAGTCCAAATATCCTTGCTTGCACTACATTGAAGAAAATGATCATCAAGCATGTGGACTGACATGTGACTGCAAGGTCAATCACTTTTTTGACAGTATTTTATTCAGTTGAAATGACTTTATAAAAGTTATGTTTAGGGCAGACAGTTGATAGGACAACAACAACACGCTTGTCAATCTTCTCCATCGCTGTTCTTAATCGTGTGTTCAATTCAGTGAAGGGCGTGGGTTATGTTTGGATTTTATAATCAAGGTACTTTTGTTTGATAAACCGGCATTTTTATTCGAAGATTAAATTGAAGGTCTAAGGAAAATGATATGGTATTTCAGACTTTTAAAGAATATTTTATGATCATATTGTCAACACACGCATTACTTTTCTGAATCAAAAACAGAAATTGCTGAAGAAGCAAGTCTGGCAGCATCCATGGAGAGAAAACACAGTTGATGTCTCATATCTGGTGACTCTTCATCAATACTAACAGCAGCTAGGAAAAGGTGGTATTTATGCTGGAGGACAGAGGTCTGCTCACCTCTTGACCCGCATGCCCACTTTCAGCATAAATACTACCTTCTCTTAACTAATATCAGTTCTAAAGAAGGGTCATTGGACTTGAAATGTTAACTTTGTTTTCTCCCCACAGATGCTGCCAGACCCATTGAGCTACTCCAGCAGTTTCCGTTCTTGTTTCAGATTTCCAGCAACCGCAGTTCTTTCTTTTACATTATTTGTCTCTTTTGTTAAGTTACTCAAATTGTCAGCCTAATTATCTTTCATTGCAGTGACCAGGCTTAAAAAAAAAACAAGTGAATGCAGAAATATTGTCCCTTCATCACATTAAGGGTCATTCTACAAACCTAAGCATTTGGGGCAAAAAAAGAGGCACCAAACTTGGCTAGTAAAATGTACAAATGCATATATTGTATGCTATAGAAATATTTGGAGGCAAGTCATAGATGGCTTATAGTATGATATGGATGAAACACAGCACAGGGTGAAACAGGGTTTCAGTTTGCTGTGTAAAGCAACTTAGCTGGGGTTGCTCAAATACTTCAGTGGTTAATTGCTTTGGCACATGATATTAAGCCATAAAGACCAGAAGGCTCAAGCTTTGAACCCTGGTTTTACTGACTGAGGTCTCCCAGAGGAAATCTATCAGCCAAGTCTTCTGTTGCTGGATGATGTCTGGTGAACCTTACATGCTTATGTAGACTTCAGAGGAGGCCTTGGACAGACTGAACTGGAACATTTTTACAGTCAGAAAGCTTGCCGACCCTTCTCGTCTCATATGAAGGACAGCCTAAAGATTGTTTTTGCCCCCTGAAGTTGTTCCAGAGCATGACTCACTGACTTAAAGAACAGAGAAAAAAACACCCTCAACTTTGCTCATTTGATTTATGATGACTGATTTAACATTTGACTGAAGCAGAAAATGACTGGTAGGTGCCCGTTTCATAAGCTTTGTATTTATTCTTAGAGAAATTGGGCCAGGGTTCATAACGGACAGTCGCTGTGCTACTACCAGTTTACACCACTGCTGAGAGTCCTCATAGTCAGAAACCTTCAGTCGTGCATTAGTTCTTTATCGTACTTAAGCCATCAATTCTTACGTTCCTATTTAACACCACATTATTTTTGCTGAGCAAATGGGCTTTCACTGTTTAATCAAAGTATCTTAACAACAAAATAAAGAAGCTCAATTTCTTATGGAAAGATTGTAGTTGAATAAATTTGCTTTGTTTGAAGGCTACTAATTTTAGAATTGGTAGTTAAGAAATCAGATTCCAATAACTTACCACTGTTGTGTGCTTCCAATTGTGAGGCAGAGTTGACAGCCACTTTGCAGAGGGAGCAATAAAGTAACCGTTTTGCTTTTTCTTCTTCTGTTTCCTTGGAAAGGGCTGTGTTGTAGCTGCTCGATGTGAAGGATTTTTCTGACCTGGAAATGGATTCTGTTGTTACACTATCACTTGCTGCCAGTGTTGTCACTTTTGATATTGTTGCTGTCCCTTGAGTGGTGTCTAGAGCAACATAAAGTAAATTTACGAAAATGAATCCAAACAATTTCTGTCACACAGCTAGCTTTCAGTAAATATAGCAAAGATATTAACTGTATTCTAACCAGAAGTCTAATCCATCAACTGTTAAATGCAATTTAATCACTTCACTCTTTCAATACACATTTCAATATTTGGTCATGGATAAGTTGATAATTCTGTTGATATAAGTTGATAAGGATTATTTTAAGGGGAGGCCTTTGGTTCTTTCCCTCTGCATGCTGTTTGAAGTCAATGAATTCCAGCAACAATCCATTGTGTCCTGCAACATTTGTCAATGATTTTCTTCCATAATTCACAATTTTAAAAAAAATCCAGCTGTATTGGAGAACCATCGTGGAAAACTGTTGCGGTATAACTTGATGATGGTTTCCTTCGAATTTACAATGCTGCTATGATAAATGGAACAATGATCCTTTCTCTAATACAGCATGTGAATAAAAACTGGCTAAACCTGAATCTTCTGTGAAGTAAAGTTGATCATCATGCGTTGTCATCTTGTCAAAACCCAATTTATCGTGCCTTTGCAGAGCAAACATTTCCATCTTCTCTAATTTTACTGAAAGGTAGACAATTTAAAGGTGAATTTTAAAATTTTTTTTGGCCCAGTGACGAGCAAGGTATCTGTCACTAATGAGGTTGGTTCAAGCCCCATTCATGTCTGTGATTGGCTCTCTTTCTAATATTCAGGGGCAGTTGCCAGCACTAATTACACTTCCTGAGCAGCTCATCCATTAGACTGTGTTAATTCAAAGAGAGGTTACAGCTACTTAAAGCCAGCTTGCACCTTGTAAATGGAAGATCTGTATCTTATATGATGGATTGTAGAATGTATCTTTCACTGTCTGCCAAGGAAGAAAAGTAGTTGTATTTACGCAGCACCATTCAAGGCCATCAGAATGCCCCAAAACTCTTCACAGCCAATGAAGTACTTTGAAGTTTAGTGACTTTCATTACATAGGAAATGCCAAAGTCATCTTTGCAAGCAAGATCTCACAAACAGCAGTATGAAAATGGAAAATTGAGTAACTGAAAGTGATCCTACTACAGTGAGCTGTGTCATACATAACTTTTTGATGGTTGTTGCAAAGTTAAAAACAAAATTATCCATAAGATTTATGGAATCAATACATCATGAGTTCTGCTTTTATAGTCTAGCACTGGTATAATAATGTTTATAAAATGAAATTGTATGATATTTGCCATTTCTCTGATGGTGCCTGTTCCTTTTGATTGTTTTATTGCACCTATTTATTTTTTGGTTTCTTCCAACAGTGAAAATGTTAGCTAATGTTCCCTTCAGTGTGCTTAATGATAATTCATTTGAAAAATAAAAGCAGAATGTGCAAATAAACAGCAAGGAGCTTATTCTTGTTGCGAATAATGGTTACCATATGCTTGGCAAATAGCTCAGTAACAGTGAAGAAAGTGATGGTTGATTTTGCCAATGCCATAAGTATTGTTTCAACAAGCTGGCAATAATGTAATAACAGAGTTTCAAAATAAAGACACCCAATCTCTTACTCTCTGCGTAGCTTCTGACCATCCCACGTTAGCATCAGAACTATGAGTGCTCCCCTTTGTTGCATCCTATCCTGATTTGCACACACTACAGACACTACACTGTTTAGTGCATGGAGTTGCACACTCAGGACTTGTTACAATTACTTCCTCTTCTTTCTAACAAACAAAAGAGCATCCAAAATACTGTTGCAAACAGAGATCAATGGATTTTCAAGTTCATGCAATCGGATTATGTAATGTGGTGTTTGTAATAAAATATGGACTTTCATTATCTGTTTAAACACCTGAAATCTTCATGGAATAAAATGAATATTAGAAAGGAAGAAAAAAGAACTTAGCTTAAAATGGCCACACCAATCAACTGATTACAGGTTGAGCCATCCCATTAAAACATCATTAAACATGAACCAATCTGAGCTAAAGGATTGTTAGAAAAGGGCATTGAAACTTAAATTCGTACCTCCTGTTCGAATTTTTTTAACCTTTCTCGGTAAGTTTCACATATTCATGATGAAATAAAAACAGAAGGTGCTGCAGAAACTCAACAGGTCTGGCAACATCTGTGCAGAGAGTTAGTGTTTTGAGAGGAAATCACTCTTCTTCAGAACTCTGATGAGCTACAGTGGATTTGTGACAATAGCATAGACAGATGAATATAGCAAACCATAACAGCAGATCTCCTGGCAGGAATAGCTTCAAGCAGGAGCAAGGGTATCAATCAAGTAAAGTCAACAATTCATTTCACTTGACAAAACAGAACACCCTGCTGAACTAATGTTTTCATTGGTTCTGGATCCATAGTCATGCCTCATATGCACCTGATTTTGATATTTGAATGATTTGCCTGATTGGTAAGTTGTAGGAACAACATATTTTATCAAAAGAATATTTGTAAATGAATGTTTTTTTTTTCTCTCTACCATGGGTATGGTATTACCTACAATTATTCATACAAGGAGAACAGAAATGAAATGTGCATGGTTTGTCATTGAGTTGGATGGACTGAGGGGCTATGGAGAGTAGCTGGAAGTAATGAGTTGGCATTGAGTTGGCATGAATTTGTATGGAAGGTGCAAGGGCCCATAGGGTTTGGTGAATGGCAGATTGTGGGGTGACAGCCAGAGAGTCTAATATCTTCTAAATACTACTAGTACAAAGTTCCAGAGAACCAAGTTACACCCTTTAATTAGCCTGCCTGGCACTTGCCGACTCCCGTGAGGTACGCTGCACCTGGGGTCAGTGGGTGTGACTCCATTTGGTAAACTGCACCCCCTCACCCCAGACTGATGAAGCACAAGTTGTGCCCCTCAGTATATTTTCACCAAGACTAACTGGGTGAGTCAAGAAATTTCTCTATTTGATCAACTCACCTTTGGTTGGCAAGATATAACGTACTGTGTTTCATTTATCATCGTGTACCTGCAAGCTGAATTACAACTTGTACCCAACAAATAGCTGCTTTGGTTTGAAAAGTAAATATTCCTCCATTTTGGATAAATGTCAGTTCTTTATAAGAGTTATCATATCAGTCCCCACTGCACATTTCGCTTTCCCTATAGCAGAGTACACTTTTGAGTTTTATTCCATTTGTAAACTTTGAAATGATACCCCTCCACTAAAGTCCATTGTTAATAGTTTTCATCAAGAGCATGAGTGCCATCCATCACTGGAAAATACCACTGCACACCTGAGTCCATACTGAAAAACAACTATCCACTACTGAGATAACAAGGTGTAGAGCTGGATGAACACAGCACGCCAAGCAGCATCAGAGGAGCAGGAAAGTTGATGTTTCGGGTCTGGATCCTTCTTCAGAAATGGCGGGGGCGGGGGGAGGGGTCCCGACCCGAAACGTCAGCTTTCCTGCTCCTCTGATGCTGCTTGGCCTGCTGTGTTCATCCAGCTCTACACCTTGTTATCTCAGATTCTCCAGCATTGGCAGTTCCTACTATCTCTGAATCAATATCCACCACTGAACTCTACTTTCTGTCCTTTAGTCATTTTGATCTCCATACAGCCAATGAGAATTCCTTGCTGTGAACTGTAAATTTACAAATGACTCCATTCTGTGGTGCTGTATCAGAGGTAATTTGGTGCCGGTGGAGTAAAGCTCAAATAAAGTTCACCATCCCACTAATAACTACAACAATGCTTTGATTGACAGGGAAATATGTAATGTCATACCATGATCTGAGAAGAAGGACTGTATATCAGTAATATGGGCTAATTCTGCAATTTTGTTAACATTGCATCCAACATTGGCTTCCAGTCTCTGGCACTGCCTGTGTCTGCATTTGAAGACTAAGCATTTTATAATCTCCTTTCATGGTATGACTTCCTTTGGAAACTAACTACTGATTGCATAAAAACAGTGGAAGCTTTTCATCCTCAGTTTTGAAATAAAACTCAATTGTCATTCTTTATGACTTACATTGCTCTGTCAATCTCAAATTCTCAATAGATTATATTGCCCAAAGTTTGGTTAACAATTCATCTGATATTGCTTTGAAATATAGCGTACTGACATTGTTACAACCCACTACTGCTTAATGAATTTTATAAAACCAAACCTTTATGATGACAGGAAATGCTAGGAACGCTTAGCAGATCTGGTTGCATTTGTAGAAAGGGAAACAACAAGTTTTTTGGATCGATGCTCTTTCCTCAGAATTGGAGAAAATAAAACATTAACTCTGAACCTCCACAGATGCTGCCAGATGGCTGAGTAATTCCGGCATTTTCCATTTTAATCTCAGATTTTCGGGTGTTTACAATGTCAGAAACAGGGAAATCTGAACACTGTTAAATACATGTTCAGTTCAAAAAATGTAAAATTTTCTGTTGCTTGACAACTCAGCCAAATATTTCAATCTCTAACATTGCTTACAGTTGGGACATGGCAGCACAATAAAAAACTCATCAGAACTGCACTGGGAAGACTTACGGAGTATTATGTTAATGTTGTAAATACTATGGAGGTAACAGGGCTGTTGTGAAACTATTTTAGTGGTAATTTTTCAAACATGTAGGGAAGCAGTTAATTATTTTTCCAGCAACAAATCAAAACACTTGACTCTCCCTGAGTATTTCTGTTACAACTTCCAAATCCTTCGGCAATTACTTGTCGCTGTTGTACACTGGAAAATATATTCACAAGAACATAACCTCTGATGCATAATTAGAACATGAAACACAATCTCAATCATGTGGAAGCAGGCCATTTAGTCCAGCAAGTTCACACTGATCCTCCGAAGAGCATTCCACCCAGATCCACCCCCTACCCTATTCCAACAACCTTGCATTTACCATGGCTAGTCTGCCCAGCCTGCACATTCCCTGGACACTGTGGGTGATTTAGCATGGCCAATCCACCTAACCTGCACATCTTTGCACTGTGAGAGGAAACTGGGGCACCTGGAGGAAACCCAGTCAGACACGGA